GCCTGGGAAAAGCTACATACACATGAAGGACAGCTGAGAGTGTCATGGGCCATCAAAGGCCACCCTCAAAGGGGTCCCCAGACCCAGAGCATGCACCAGAGCCCTGCAACATGATGCAACAGATCCACAGTGTTGTAAGGGGCCGTGTCAAACATAATCCCCTTAAGGGAGGCACGCACCAGTAGTTTCCCACCTGGCCCAAATTTATATTAATCCACAGGATTCTACACTTTTAGGCATGGATCAGTGGCAGGGGACCCTCACCACCAAGACCAGATGGAGAAGAGTACCAAGACATCACTGGGATGTCCAGAAGGGTGCTGTGTTTATACCTAACTCCTGTTTATACCCTGTTTATACCTAACTCTCTTCCTGTTCCCCCACCCACCCATGCACATTTTTCTTTTCATTTCTAATTTATTTTTTCCTTTCTCTGTTTCTCTTTATCTCTGCTACTATTAAATAAAATGTAACAATCTTTTGGCACCTGCATCTAACCTTGCTTGGTTTTTATCACATTTTCTGAGTATATTTTGAAACCTTTCTGGGTCTGACCCATTTTATTCACAGAGGCTTAGTTTACTTTGCTCTTCTTTTTTAAACAAGTATTTAAACCAGTTCATAAAAGCCAGATAATGACATGCACCAACACTGCACAGAGATCTGCCACAGAGTATCTGAACAGAAGCAAGATGGATAAGTAAAAGGCTTCGTGCAGATTTGAGATAAATAATAAAGGGGAAGACCTTGGTGCCTCCCTGTTTGTATGTGTAGTTCACCAGTCACCCTGAGGGGGATGGGCAAGGGGTCTCAGGCAAGAGATGCAGCAGTTCTGCAAGCCTGACTTTTGGCACTGCTTGTAAACATGAATCTTCTTATGGCTCAGACCTCATCTGATACCACTCTTTTTCTATATAGTACACTGCATAAAAGAAAAGAGCCCATGGCTTCCCACAGTGACAAAAGTTCATTGGCTATGTTCCCTCCCAGTCTCTGGGGGCTGCTTCTGGAGCAGAGCACACATGTGACAGAAGCTGCACTGAGGACAAAGACTGTCTCTGTTGTGTTTTAAAACCACTTAGAAACCACATTGTAATGCCTTGATGATGTGGGTGTGCCTCATGTAAACACAGTTTCTCCTTGAAGGTAAAATACAAACATTCATAACATTCAATGCTGATACAGTTAAAGTGAAAAATAGACTCATTATTTATCTAACTTTCTTAGAACCTATGACCTAACAATTACACAGGCGCTTCTTAGGAAGTCACATCAATAAAATATCTCCTGCGTACATGTTTCCTTATCACACTGAAATATTGAGCAACATTCAAACCATTAATGATTTATGATGAAAGCTGTATAAAAAGTTCAGTGTCAAGTGAATTGTCATTTCTGTACACCCTATTTCACAGAAATTTAACCTACGTGTAATCATAATCTAATCTTTGTCACCTCCATACTTTTATGTGTGATCTAAAAAAACAGGAACAAAAACCCAAAGGAGAATCAAAAACACCCCTTAGAACCTTCAAAATCACAGAGAAGATCCCATTCACAGACAGATACCATGTTGATCCAGATGAAAGCATGAAGAGCACAGGACAGACTTGACCCACTGTGTCCCTAAGGGAGAATTACCTCACTTACCCCTCAGCAGAGCACCCCCACCAGGGTTATGCTCTCTTGTGTGGCAAGAATTCTCTCTGAGGGCAATCACAAAACTGAGAAAGACAGGTAGTTACAGAAGTTCAAGGAGATTTTGGGATAGGAATGGCAATATAAAGTGCTCTAAACACATTCTCCACAGAGTTGACCTGCCTACCTGTCGAGGTTCTGTTCCACACCAATTAACAGTCCTCCCTATTCAGGTAGAATGAGTTTGTTTGTTGCTCTTCAGTTTATTTGGTTTGGTTTAAACTCAGCCCATTCACAATAGTGCATGAGACAGCAAAGGGATTTGAAATAGTTCCTGGCAATTTGCCTCTCCCTAAAATCTTGCTTTTATCATCCTGTAACCTTAGAATGAGCCAGAAGAATCTGGACAGAGAATTTTTTGCTTTACTGGTAGAATACTCCTTTAGAAGACATTACTCTTCTAAACAGACTTTATGGCAGTGGCAGACAGACACGTGAACTGTGAGAGGAGTCTGCTGCAGATTCAAATGAATCTGCAAACATAAATTGAAGCCTCTTTACCTAGAACTGCCCACCCACTCTAGATGGTGATAGTATAAGGATCTACTTACATGGGAGATGAGTACCTAAATGTCTTCAACAAAAGCAATGGAGCACTATGGTGCTGCATTCCCCTCTCTGTCCTAGGCCACTCTGTGATCTGAGAAATCCTCATCAGGCCTCAGCCTTGATGAACAGCACCTGGGCTCAGCTCTTCTTGAGCTTGTCAGAAACACTGTGTGCTCCAAGAAGCTGCTGCTCTCTAATTAGCTCCAGGGTTTTTCACGAACAGCCTTGGAAATTATTTTCCTTGCCTGAATGTCTTAATATCCCTGTTCTCACACTTTCAAAGAAAGTGTGGCAACCTGAAGTGTGGCCAGGCTAGAACACTGTCCTGACTAAAGCCCACTCTCTTGCAGCCCTTGGTACAGTGGTCCAAAATGAGTCCTTTGAGCTCTTTGGGCTGCATGGGCTGTGCCCGTTCAGTGATTGAATGGAGCCTCCCAGAGCCTGCGAGCTCTGAGGTTTGCTGTGCTTGGAGGATCACTGAACAACAAGGAATCCTGGGCCAAAATCCCCACTCCTCGAGGCTCAACCCTTCACCCACTGAGGAGGTGCAAAAGCATCCAAAGTGAGTATTTCACTCCCTTCAAGGGGAATTTTCCACAGGTACCTTGCACTGACCTTTATGTCTGTGTGCATACACACGTACACATATGCTACAGCAAATCTGGGAGAGATGCTGCTCTGTTAGACGTTTAATAACCTTTGATACTGAACTAAATTAGGCCTGCAAGTAAGTTTAAGTTATAAGCTACGTTTAATGCTGTTAACTGCTATTCCCTGGTAAATTGTTAAGATTAAGTTATAAGTTAAGAACTGTTAAGTTTGAGTGCTGCTAATCTTTTAGGTTGTATCCCTTTTTATCCTTGCCCTTTCTATCCTTTGTCACACACAACTAAGCACACACACATTAGCACATACACACGCTTTTCTCAGTTTATTTCTGTTTTGATTGACTGTGTTTTGTTGCTTTTTTTTCTTCAGTGTGCCTTAACTATCCTGTAAGTAGCAGAGTGAGCCTAGCCAATGAACTTTGTTTTGCTGTCACTTATATATAATAATAATACTCTTGCCAGTGATTTTTCAAGCAATCTCAAACACTAGTTTGTCACATGCAGTGAAGAGAGCTGGGTGCAGGACCAATGCAAGTGGTCACTGCACTCCCACTCCAAGTGGACACAAAGAATGTTTCAGGAATGTCCTGGGAAAGGAAGGAAGAAAAAACACTCTTTTAGTTAGAGGATAACTCCTATCCAAGATAGGTAAATGGAAAGGAAGACGACTGGAATTACATTTATGTTTTACAATTAGTAAACTGTTATCACTGCTAACTGAACAGGATTGATTTCTCTGGACCATATTCTAGGTAACTGGCAAAGGTAAAGAAAAGGGTGAAGAAAAATGAAGGTACCAGAGATAGACCAAGGTGGGATTAGGATGAGATTTATGAGAAGTAATATTGAATATGGCTGTCAACACTAAGGAATCAGAAAGATCTTTTTCTAAGGACATGAAGTCTCCATCTGACATGTCAGCTTTTTATGAAAAGCAGAACTTCTCTAGAGGGTTCTGCTATACTGTATGTAAAGCAAGTTACCCAGGTAGAGACACCTCTGCAAATATCCTGGCTGACAAAATGAAAATGACACATTGATAAAAATATACAGGCACAGATAGAGCCAGACAAGCAGACTTCCATGTTTGCACCAGCAACAGAAGAAGGTATTATCCTGACATGCACACCCATAATAAATCAACATATGCCAGGAGAGACTGGATTACCCTGACACAGAGATAACTTCTCTAATATCCTGTTGGCATGGAAACACTGTGGAGCAGAAGGGCAGTGGTTACATTAGTTATGTGTTTGCCAAGAAATATCCCTGACAGGGAAGTATAAAATTTCCTTCCGGTGAACAAAATGGGGAGGAATTTGAAAAGTCATCCCCTCCACAGATAATAGAACAAATGCTCACATAATCTCCTGAGATATCTTTGTTGTCTCTATGTCAGGTACCAAAGATGTGCCTACATCCTGCCATATTTGGTCCACTGTTGTGCACGTCAGCAAGGTAATGTAGAAGACCTTATTGTTAGTTGCTAAGACTCCAACCTTCAAACATTAAACTATGTATCAATCACCTGGTGCAACTCATCCTGTGAAATAATTCCGTTGCTGGCATGGAAGTGTTATCATGGGCTGTTAAGACCTCATCTCACATGCTGGCCCCACATGAGATGATGCTGAAAATGGCTGCTCCTGAGGAGGAGATACGAGGTGTGGTCCTGGGGTGGAGGGGAGAGGAAGACATGATGTATGCCCTTTTCACCCAGGGGACACCCTGAAAGAGCACTGCCTTCCTAGCCCTCCCTCTCAGAAGCCATACTCCACCTCCTGCTGCTGCTCAGTGGCGTCTCCAAAATCCAGAGGTTGATATGTATTAATCGCTAACATGACTAAATGATATGAATAAAATTAATTTCCTTTGCAATTCTGAGTGCGTCTTTAGTATTTTGTGCATGGGCATCCTCCTGAACCTGTAAGAATGTCTCTGATCTCTCAGAAATCAAGGTTCAGTTCATATTCAGATCAGTATTCTCTGACATACATATTCAAAATAATAAGGTAGAGTTTAAAATAAAATCTTCCAAAAAAATTCAAGCAGATATTGTCTGATCAAAGCAGGAGGAAAAGAGAGGCATTGTAGTTTTACTTTGTGGTTTTTCTCCATAAATAATGTGCTTACAGTTCCTGAAGGTCTCTGAAACCTGACTGACCATTTTATGAAGAAACTTAGAAACATGTATGCAAAAAAAAAGCTGACTACAAATATAACATATTCCCTAGTAATAACAAATAATCAAAGAGGCAAACCTTTTGCAGTTTTCATGGAAGCAAGTTGGGAAATCATTAATGTATATTAAGGAAAGTGAAATGTTATGGACCGTTGATAAGGATATACAAATACAAAAGTTGCTTAGTTTCTTCAGTAGAATGATGTTCACGTTACATCATATCGTCACCTCCCAGGGTTTTATGCAGTCTTCTTGGGAAACCTCATGATTATGAAATCTCTGTGGAGATAGGAATTTTTCTTGTAGTCAGTTTGGAAAGAAATATTCCCCAGAATTAAAGTAATAAAATCTGTCAGTTCACCTTGCCTTTCTGTTATCATACACTGATAAGCTGAAATTCTGTTCGTCATGATAATGTTCAGTTGAAACAGACAGTTTCTATCCATAGTATCACCCAGGCAGTTAAAACATTCAAGCAGCTTCATTCTTCCCAAAAACAAAAATGAAAAATCAAATGAACGCAGTCTCATCATGCAGCAGAGAAGCCACTCATCCTGCCAGCACCCAGCACGTGGCAATTTCACAGTGTCACTGTGCACTCACAGAGGAAAGGAAAAACAGCTTCTCAACACAAATAAACATCTGTTAGGTGTGGGTCCTGGTGCCAGAATAACTTCTGGGGTTTCTTTGGAATCTTGTATTCTAGACAGACAAGCCACCCTAGAGGAAACCAGGAATTCACCTCCCATTCTGCTGCCCCCATCACCCGGCCACCCCCATCATTCCTTTGTG